CAGCCATCGCGCGAGTCCTTTGGTGCGGTGCGGTGAGACGTGTGAGCGGCGATGCCGAGCGCTAAGCAACGGCGCGATGGCTGCTACGCACATTCGCGATTTCATTACATATGTAATAATAACATATGTAATAATAAACAGGACAAATACAAACCATAATAAACTTCGATGAATAAAAATGTCGAAAGAGAGAAAGCGATGAAACCTATGGAAATCTACGGAAAATCTAATTAATTTTTATCGTTATTATTACATATGTAATGAAATCGCGAATGTGCGTAACAGCCATCGCGCGAGTCCTTTGGTGCGGTGCGGTGAGACGTGTGAGCGGCGATGCCGAGCGCTAAGCAACGGCGCGCTTTCCCTCTTGCCTCTCCTGCCGCCGCATCCATCGTTTGTCAAAGTGGGCCGGGCTATACCTCGAGCGACCGGAGCCGTTTCTATTCTTTCTATAGGCGCGCTCTCATTAGTACAATTTCAAACTTTAATATCTCGATTATTATTACGGATATCGCTAAACGGTAAAGGACTTTTATGTTTATTTCGATCCCATCTACCTTCCTATGGGAGATTGTAAGAGTGGGGCTGGACACCCTGTATATTGCGTAAAAACTTATGATTCTAGTTTACAAAATGTCCATGATTCTTATGACCATAAAACATTGATTTCTTTCGAAAGTTAATTTTATCATTATTTGTCCTCCTTTAAATCATATAACTTTTGTTTAAAACATGTTACCATTTTTACCTACCATGTTGAGTTTTTGACATACACATACGCCAGTATTAGGTGCCCCATTCGATATACGTAAAAGTTATGGTCAATGTAAAAATATGGGTGCTATTCAATATACAAATATTGTTTTTACCTAAAGAGGCTAAGCCGATCATGACGAACGGTCCTAAACACGATAGATTGAATAAAACCGGAAACAATAGATTACCGATTACTGCGCCAATTCTTCCCATCATCATGGTTATGCTAACCGCCATGGTTCTGGAAGAAAAAAGAAATATAGATATATTAAATAGATGAATAATACGGTAAAGATAATAAAAAATAATGCCATATAAACATTTCTTTAATTAATATTTTATATTAATATATAATTAATGAATAATATCATTTTTCAGACCGCGTATGTGAGAGACACAACCGATAAATAAGAGCCCTATACGGTCGAAGCTAGATCTTAAAAT